CGGAAACAACAGCTAGAACTCTGTGGTCTAAGTTTATAATGCCATATGGCTTCCCCCAGGAGACTACACTCTGAGTCAAGGTGCTAACTTTCTCTCCGCTACAATCCAGAGTTATGTAAACTGTATGGGGGGTTGAAGAGTCGTACGACACCCTACCACCCGGCCGGTAATGGCCAATGTGAACGTTTCAATAGGACACTTCTCAATATGCTGGGTACATTGACAAGGCAGCAGAAACGTCATTGGCCTGAATACCTACCTGAGTTGGTCCACTCGTATAATAATACACAGCACGTAACCACTGGGTACTCCCCGTACTTCCTACTGTTTGGTAGACAAGCGAGACTACCACTAGATTTAACTCTGGGCATAGACTCTGCAGAGGAAAACACGGGTGATACAGTAAGTCCGGATGAGTGGGTAGAGAAACATCACCAACGGTATAAGTACGCTTATGACTTAGTTACTAAGAACTCTGAATCTGCAAAGGCAGGTCAGAAGAAGTTACATGACCGGACAGCTCGCACAGCTCCTTTGCTACCTGGAGAAAGAGTTTTAGTTAGAAACAAGAGGACTCGGGGTCCTTCTAAACTTAAAGATCAGTGGGAACAGATCCCACACGTGGTAGATAGACAACCCAACGTGGATATCCCGGTTTATGTTGTCACTCCGGAGAGGGGAGGTGGTCCCAGTAGAACCCTACACAGGGATATGTTAACTCCCTGTATGTTCGCGCCTCGCCCCTGCAACACAAGACGGCCACGTGCCGAACAAAAGGACGGGCGCGCAGATAGGCGTGAGCCAGAAGACAGTGCCACAACTGATAGTGAAAGTGATAATGAGGGTCGTGAGGAGGATGGGGACCTGCCCATTGTTGTTGTACAAATGCCTGTAGCGCCTCCAGTGGGCGATGGCGGTCCGGAAGACCCTAGATATCCGGTTAGGGAGAACAGAGGAGTACCTCCTATCCGTTACCCAGAAGTTTTCAGACAATGAATAAGGTGTTTTCGGCTAATGAAATGTGCAGCCATCTTGGGGTTTGTAGTTAGTGGGGGGAATCAAGTGTTATGCTTTCCTTGGAAACCCAGACATCGGGGGTTGGGCCTCGGCCCTTCGGGAATTCATACCACTTTTAGCTAGATAAGGTGGTTGCACTTTCCCAAATTGATTCTGATCATCTATATATAATATCTAAGCTCTAGAGTAATTATTTACTAGTAACGGTGTTTTTGTGCTGAACGAGTCTACTTTGTTCTGGTTGTAGAGTTCGTGATTCCCAGGGTGGGTAGGATTTACTTCACTAGACACTACAATTAATATTAACTTGGGTTTGAGTCCGAGTGGGAGTATGTTCTCCCATACTTTGAGGTCAAAAATTATTTGTAGATTATGGCGGTCAGGCTTGGTGTGTGTGTGTTTGTGTGTTCTCTTCCCCATCCTGCACAGGTCCACGTGGGACATCGAAGCTTGGTGATGGAGAGGGCAATTCCCGCCGCGCCATCCGATCCCGGAAGAGCGACCCGTCCGAGTCATCACCCTAACGGGGACCCATGAAGCGACGCCATCTTCGCCGGACGACCCTTCGACTAAGGACCGGTGAGGGCTACCGCAACTGAGGGGCGACTGCGGCCGGGCGTTCGTGCTCCTTGCAACACGGAGGAGGGGAGGAACACAGCGGGGAACCACTAACCAGTAAGCGGTCCTGACGCGTGTTGACACGAGTGCTGAGAAACGAGCGCCGAGAGACGAGTCTGAGAGACGCGAAAACTCCGACAGCTAACTGACGCCGAAGGACGTCGACGCGACGCGACGTTTTCACCAATCTGAACGTGAACACTGCAAACTCTACTTAAACTCTGAAATAGAAACCCGGTAGTAGTTCCCGATACCGTAAATGTATGGTTTCTACAGATGCCTAGCAGTAAAGGCACATGTACATTTCTCTCGTTTTATAGTAGTTAGACAAGAAAACGTTTTTTTTTAAAACCTGACATTTTGTAGTGATCGTTCGCCGAGGACGGCGAAAAATTACTAGGGGGAAAAGTGTAGGGAATGACACTTTATAGTGATCGTTCGCCGAGGACGGTGAAAAATTACTAGGGGGGAAAGTGTAGGGAATGACATAAGGTGTTTAGATGTTGCATTAGGTAAGCCGTTTCGGACGTTCGAACGGCGACGTTAGCGTCCGTTCGACGTCCGAACGGCTACGTTAGGATCCGTACGTATACGTTAAGATCGACGACGTTCGATCACGTTCTTAGAATAAACGAGAGGTTTTTGAGTTGAAGTCTTTGTGTACGGACGTTTTTTTTGTGTGCTCTGTGTCCTCTTCTTTTCTTGTCTCCTGCTTTACTCTACACCGTGTACTCGGAGGCGGAAATCCCACGACGATCAACAACGAACCCCTTACATTTAGTGTAGGGAATGACACTTTATAGTGATCGTTCGCCGAGGACGGTGAAAAATTACTAGGGGGGAAAGTGTAGGGAATGACATAAGGTGTTTAGATGTTGCATTAGGTAAGCCGTTTCGGACGTTCGAACGGCAGGCTTTTAGCTAGGGGGTGTCCAGGGTGTCTTTTGGACGCCCTGTACTGAAAATACTAAGAAATTGGACGCCCTACTTTTTGGTAGGACACCCTAAAGACGCCCTGTTTTTTCCCACTCCCAACCCCTGCCATGCACATATGCCTCTCTTCAGCCTTACTATAAATACAAAAATGATGGTTTACTGAAGGACAAAAACTCGAATTCCTCAAAATTTGTAACTCAAAATGCAAAAAGTAGTGTTTGAGAGCATTTTGACTTTCAAAAAAGGCCCCCTAAAAAGCTTGTGCACCGTGCATCTTTGCTGAGCATAGCATACAATGCAAAAAATGGACGCCCAACAAAAAAATCCTAGCTAAAAGCCTGTCGAACGGCGACGTTAGCGTCCGTTCGACGTCCGAACGGCTACGTTAGGATCCGTACGTATACGTTAAGATCGACGACGTTCGATCACGTTCTTAGAATAAACGAGAGGTTTTGGAGTTGAAGTCTTTGTGTACGGACGTCTTTTTTGTGTGCTCTGTGTCCTCTTCTTGTCTTGTCTCCTGCTTTACTCTACACCGTGTACTCGGAGGCGGAAATCCCACGACGATCAACAACGAACCCCTTACACACGCATTGACTGACATGTAAATTTTATTATATGCTCTTTGATGCTCATATTTATCCTAGTATTATATGCTCTTTAATAATTTGTCATATGGGAGTAGCCTGGCATAACCATAAAAATTATGATATGAAAGATATTACGTCTTACTATATGAAATGAAAAGTTCTGAATATATTTCACAATATCAGCACGTCATATATCATTTCTTACATGTTGATTGCAGAAAATTATATTTGTCATGTAGATGTCATATAAGGGAATAGCCTGGCATAACCATTAAAAATTATGAAATATAAAAGATACCAAGACAGTTTACATGACATAAAACGTGATAAATATATTTCACAATATCAGCCCGTATTTCATTTCTTACACATTGACTGGACGTGGTTGCAACAGAAAAATGTCTTTTACAAGTACCGACCCTGACGTCATATGTACTCAGGTCACCAACCATCGCGACTTCCAGGCCGGTTTTACTCAACAACCACGCCATCTGATGACCTGACCTTCCTTCCATTTTATCCCTGTCACCTTCGTTACTTTTCCTTGGCAAGATGTTTTCGAAACATCGTTTTTAACAGTAGAAAACAGGGAAAATGTAACTGGAACTCACCATGGCTCACGTGCATATTCCTCCATCTTGGTGACCTTACGCAATTCCCTGCATGCATTGCGACAAGTCTCGCGGCGACCGAAATCTCGCGAGACTTGAGCCACGAGAGTTCAAAAATTTGAGCTGAGATCTCGCGCCAAATTTTGCAGGCGCTGAACTACTAGTATACGACGTTGTCTGGGGCGGTTTAGTTTGATCCCAAGATTGTTCCGTGTGCTCACAGGTCATCATGTCATCGTTGTACAGTTCGGGAGAGTGGCCGGAGAACTTCAAGCAGCTAAAGGTTGGTTTCCGACAATATTTGATGCTTATTTTTGTCGTGTAAACTTCGATCGATCGTGGACAAGCCAAGACAGGCCAAAGAGGCCAGCCAGAGAGGGGAGGGGGGCGGTCGTCCTAATACGTAAAGATGAATCTTTGATATGATGTGCATCTCTTTCTTCCATGGTCATAGCCATGGTTGCGTGTGTACGAGAAATTTTGAACTGAAACTTATCCTTAGTAATCATATTGAATGCCATGGAATGAATGAAATTATGAATGAATGAATGAAAGCTATGAAATGAATGAAGTTGGTTAGTTGTTATAAACAGCATCACTGTAGATGATGATGATGAAGATGATGATGGACGAATAAGAACTAGAAGAAATGAGGAAAAAAGTTGACCAGGCAGTCGTCATAGCCAAATGATTCATGTTACATAATTTATTGTCTCAAAATCTGCAATATCATATGAATATGAGATTATGACTCATGTCTTTTATTATCAGTTCAGTTCAGTTCAGGTCGTCCTCATTAGAGTAAATAATGTTACATATCATTAGATGGTCATCAGTAGATTAATCGCTGTCTAATGCAAACATCCACACACTCACTCACTCACTATCCGTTTATGTTATTAATACAGACCATCGATGACCTGCTGCGCTGTCCCATCTGTTACGAGTACTTTGACATCACGATGATCATTCCTCAGTGTTCACATAACTGTAAGTATGGCAAGCAAAGCAAGCAATGTTCATGACATATTTGTACATTTTGTACTAGTATTTACATATTTATTGGCAATGAATGTATGTCATTACATGGTAAACTGTTGTTTAATGGTTTATTGTTTATTTCAGGCTGTTGTACATTGTATAATCCTTGTTTTGAATTTTAGGCACTGACATGCACTGTTTGGTGTATTGTTGTAATTCTGTGATTTTCTTCTATCTTCCCTCTAGATTGCTCCCTGTGTATCAGAAGGTATTTGAATTACAAGACTCAATGTCCAACATGTGGAGTGGTAAGTATAATAGAAGTACTGAACTAAAATAAAAATCAGACCTGTAGCATTTTTTAGTTAAAGTAATTATCATCTGCCATAATTTGAAATGTTGAAGATAGTTAAGTTATAGCATACATATCTCGGTCACAACTGCACATATGTGTATATTATCAAGCTACTCCTACTAAGTTACACACTACGTACCTTGTAGCAATATTTGCAATTAACTCCAATCGTCATCTGCACAATAGCGCCATGTTATGCTGATAGTGGATACCCTTTATGTATCCACAGTCTGTCAGTGAACCAGAGCTGAGGAACAACAGAAGTCTAGACGACCTTGTCAGACAGTTCCTTGATGTCAGGTGGGATATTTTTAATGAGATTTAAACATTTAATCCTTATTGATCTAACATAAGTTTGTGGTTTCCCAGAATTTAAAATGGCTGTCAAGTGTCTTAAGTAATGACAGGAACTTTCTATTTGAAGACTAGTCAACTGCTGCCCACCTCTATGTCAGGGACCCCTGTAGAAGTACAGTATAATTAAAGACTGAATACTACTATTACTACAAATGTACCACTAAACTACGGCTGATACTGATGCAGTGATATACTACATGTAATACTTCAAGTAATAATATAGTAGTAGTAATTAACTTCAATCCTGTTTTTACAGACCAAGTTTACTCCAGTGTGTGAAGTCAGGAGTCAACAGCCACACAGCAGACAGAGGGTCCACATCAGGTCCAGCTGGTTCAAAGCCTGACACATCTATGCCTACTCTCAAGAAAGTCACTTCATCAAAGGCAGGAAAGGTTTGTAACACATAGACTCCCAAATACAACAATTTATGTTGTAGTTATCACTGCATAGTTTACAGTACAATACTGTGTAAGAGTTATTTGCAAAAGGCTGTCATTTGAATCTTCATTGCTGTTTTGTTGTCCTTACTCACTGCCAATAATCTGCAAAGGTAACATCTTTATCTTAAGTCCAAATTTTATGCAGCTATCCCTGTCTGACAAGAAAATCCACTGTATCTACTATAATTCTGTTATTCCAGAGTTCTGATGCTGCTACAACTGGTGTAAAGAAAAGTCCTCCCACCAACACCCTAGACCGGTTCTGCTCTGCTGTCAGTACCAGAACAGCCCCCGCAGAAGACGATGATCAATGCGATGACTTCCGTGATGACGTCAAACGTCACAGAAGCAAAAGGATTTCATACAAGGAGTCCAGCAGTGATGACGATGTGGAGATTGTTGGGACGGTGGTCACCCCTCCACCGGTCAAACCTGCCAAGGTGCCAAGTCCAAAGGCATCCACTTCACAAGAGTCCACTCCAGCAGGCGAGAGAAACAACTCACAAGTTGCAATGGGTAGGGTCTTTGGGGCAACTGTCATATCATCATGTGTTTGCTTTCTTTCTTTCTGTTCTAATATAAACTGAACAAAGTTATTGGAACAAAGCACATTTCACGGTCACTGTGTCTTCAGTTCATATTTACTTTTGGGGTTAATTTCTCTCAAGTCAATGCAAGACAGTTATAGCCTGGTTACCAAACCTACCGGTATTATAGCTCCCGAGTCCTACATCCTCTATTTGCTGAGAGGATTTAGGACTCGGGAGCTATAATAGGTTTGGTAACCAGGCTAAGACAGTTATATACCTGATGAAGTTGTCAGTGTTGTGTGGTACTTTCTCTGCAGCAGACTGTCCTGTATGTGGAGTGAGTATTCCAGAGAGACATATCAACAACCACCTGGACGTGTGCTTAACTCGGGAGGAGAAGAAAGAGTCTTTGAGAAGGTGACATAAAACGTTATGAACATTCATTTGGTTCAATGCAACTGTGGTGTGTGTATACATGTACTTTCCTAGTGCAAAGTGCTGTGTATGTACTTGCCTAGGTTAATTTATTGTGCTATCAAAGTGGTAGCCTTTTCCTTTTTGTTTTAATGTAAATGCTTATTATACACCATATTTCACCAGTTCCGCCCCCAAGAGGAAGCCGATGGCCAAGCTGGTGTATAACCTGATGTCTGACAAGGACCTGAGGAAGAGACTGAAGGAGAAGGGGCTGTCTACACAGGGGGACAGACAGGTGTGTGTGAGTGTGTGACTGTCTGTGTGTGTGTGTGTGTGTGTGCGTGAGTGTGCGTGCATGTGTGTGTGTGTGAGTGTGTGTGTGTGGGTATGTGTGTGCGCGTCTGTGAGTATGTATGTCTGTGTATGTGCGTGCGTGTCTGTGTGTGTGTGTGCGTGAGTGTGTGTGTGTGAGTGTGTGTGTTGGTGTGAGTGTGCATGCATGTGGTGTTTTGATAAACCCTATGCCTGATGGTATTTCTGTTGCAGACTCTGATTGCCAGACACCATGAGTTTGTGTTGAGGTACAACTCACAATGTGACTCGGCAGAACCCAAATCAGGTACCTCATTGGTTGTACAATGTACCTATTGCTTGCATTTTATGTTCTACTATATCTTTTAAATTATAATGTGTGGAGCATAACATCAGCTAAATCTGCTACCATGCATACGTTTCAGTTGCCCAGATTGTGAAAGAAGTGGAGAAACATGAGAGAGTGTTGAGCAAGACAACTGTGACAAAGCCCGTGAGTATGATATTTGACGTTTTTCAACTTCACTTGTCCAATTTTTTAACAAATGTCCAACATTATCATTGTTCCTTTGTAGTTTATAGGCATGATGTAGACTGGAAGGCTGTTGATGATTGCCTCATTTCTTTTTTTTTCAGACATTCACTCTCAACAAGACTTCAAATGAACAAGAGAGAGACAGGGTCAATACTAAATATGGTATGTGTTTGATGCTGTAATTTCTTACTTATTTGTTTGTTTGTTTCTTTATTACTGATGTAGGGTAGCCCAGCTCAGTGTCATTACACTCAATTACAGTGGGGCCCTCCGAAGCATACATTGCATACAAAATGTAACGTTATAACATCTGTGTCCATAATAATCACCAGAGTCCATAATATCGCCATTCGCCACCTTGAGAAACAGTGTGCATTAAGATATTTTTACTGCAACATACTTTTAATATGCACTCCTTCACACATCAAATGTACATACCTAGGGTATGTTGCAGTAAAAATATCTTTAAGCACACTATTTCTCAAGGTGGCGATATTATGGACCCTGGTGATATTATGGACACAGATGTTACATACATTATGTACATAAGCTATAATAACTATACACAAGTACATAATGACATTTGAAATTTCTCCACTTTGCAGCAACAGAACACAAGGCACAGTTCAACTCATTGATAGAAAATGCCAGGAAAAGGATGAAACAAAAGAGAAAAGCAAAGTTGGCAGAAGAAGGGTCAGAAAACACTGCAGAAGAAAAACTGCCATCTATGGAGGTAGACTTAAATATACCTACTGATGAAACAACCACAGACAAACCAACAGAAGTGTCAAATGAAATAGAGAAAACTGCTGAAGACGGTCTGACAGTACAGATAGGAGAGCAAGCATCAACAGAGGAGGATCAAGAAGCTGGTACAGTGGGAAAAGATCTAGAGGACATGAAAGAGCAAACAGAAGGTGAGAAAAGAAGTGAGATACTGATGTTAAGAAGGCTAGAAAGTTTCTTATCAGTGTTGTGTCCTACATTTAGATAGAAATATACAGTAGACTTGTCAATATAAGGATTGATTACACAGTGTTCTCATCACAGACTAGAGCAAAACGTACTAGATGCACATGTACAAAAGTAATGATTTTTGATATGTACATATGTATGCAAATCTGAGGGCAGGGATATTGAGATAGTCATACATATGTCCTACAAAATTCAGCAACCAAGTTTAGAGTAAGCTAAGATTTTTGTTGGTGATTGGTTCTCCCACATACTACGACATCAAAATCATACAATGCTCCAGGGCAAATGTTACCGCACTGTTAGTCTACATGCACTGCCTTGACAGTTAGGCAAAGTACAGCCCTTTTATCCATCAATTCAATAATTTCTTTATTGACATACCAAACATAACAGACAAACATAGCATACAAATTTTACAATGTTGCCTGAATGGCATTGATATTGTATACAAAATGTCAAAATATCTTATACATGTGTATTTACAAAAACTATAAAAGCAGTACAGTAACTGTACAACCCAGATATTTACAAGGTCCATTATCTTGTGCCAGACTCTATCTGTGTAGTCAATTTATTTCCTCATTTCAAGCAGACCCAGTTGAGAAGCAGATCCACCCAGTACAGACACCAGACGCCCCACAGTTTAACCTCCTGGCAGAGTTTGATGACATAGATGAGGATAACACTCTGTGTACAGATGACACCAGGGAGGACCCAGCAGATGACTGTAACAGTGAGAAGAGTGTCAGTCTTTTTGACAACATTCAACAAGGTACATCTTAATCATTGTATATGCTGAATAAAATATTCTTGTATCAACTTCAGAGAGGCTGAAAATGCAACTGATATACTTAAGTTTCTGTTTAAGTTCTTTTTAAGTTTACATTCTTAAAGATTTTGTAAAAATGTAATGTAAAACATACCATCATAGTTTATCATACATTCATAGATTCTTTTTGGTTGGAGGAAGAATTATATGGATGAAGAACTGATTTCTTTACTTTCATTACTTGTACATTTGTTTTTTTTTCTAAATCCCACGCTCATGTTGCATATGTGTAGATACTCATACAGGTGAGCTACAAGAAGACCAACTGACTGGACAGAAGTCTGAGACAGAGCCAGTCCGAGACGCAGAATCAGAAGATGATGAAGAGGATACCCTAACACCCTCTCTGGAGTTTGGGGCATCTGAGGTCAGCAGATTGTGTTTTCCACATTATTATGTCAATGCATTCTGAGAATTTTATGAGAAATGTAGCTGCTTTTTCATGAGAAATTTAGCATTTTTCTGAAATCTTATAATGGATCACAATTTCCATCACAAATGGCTGTAATACTCAATGTTGTCTGTCACATGCATGTAAATCCGTTGATACATTTTATAGCTTGTCTGTTGTCTGAATGTCCACTTGATGTACTTGCTTATCCATTTCCATGTGATAGATAGTAATGTTTTGCTGTATTTCCAGGGTTCAGTTGATATTTTGGCCATGAAACCATACCAGCTACAGGATCCAACATATGCTCAGTCTAGCAGCTCAGGACCAAGGTAAAGTCAAAACAAAATGCAGAATTCCAACTGTTTCATTTTATTAAGAACAGAATAGATACATGTATTACTGTTTGTCAATTCTGTTGATGACAGTCCACTTTCTTTGTTTCAGTTCCATTGCTGACTTTGACTTCCTTGGTGATGATCCAGAGATCAAATGTGTACCAGAAAGGCAAGTCATCTTCTTCAGATGTTAGGATGATGTGGGCAAGATGTTATGGGCAATGCAGCTTTTACCAAAGAAAGCTTAAACTAATGGATAGTGTCAGATCTTGTCCAGGTTACCAGTCATTTCAGGGTATTTCATTCTTGTAACACAAAATCATGTAAGACCTTAGTAGGTATTTCATGATTGTGAGTTTATTACATGTATAAGCAAGGACATCATATAGAGATAATGTCCTTGTTATAAGGATGAAGTCTTCAGAATAATGTACTGTGTTGTGTGGAGTTATCTACATGTAGTGCTAATCTCTCCTTACATGACAGGTTTTGTTTCTTTGTTTGTTTGTTTCTTCATTTATTGTTTTGTTGTTGTTCCCATCCAGCCCCCCTGCCAGGCAGCTGAGAAGGGGTAAGAGGAAAGTTGCGGAATTACAGAGTGACAGTGACGGGTCGTTCGGGAGTGAACAAGACGTACGCAGGAGCAAACGTCGCACAACCAACAGGAACAAAAATCAGTGACTCTGCAAGAGAACACCTACCTTTGGAGAAGGCAACACACTCCCATCTTTGTGTATTTTTCTCCAAGGCAGTTAGGATTGTGACAGTCTTCTGATAGTCTCTCCTCTGTCACAGTGTCAAGACTTCAAGTAAATGTTGTTGTTGTCAAAGGCCATATCACTGTGTGTTTAACACCAGGATCAGGGTTTCTGACTGTGTTAATCCTGTAGGCAACTGTCTTCCAAAAATGTTTTAAAGACATTGATGTTATGATCTAACTGAGGATTGCCATAGATAAGTTCTACTGCACCAAGGTCCCAAAAAAGCAAAATTAGAGATATCATCTATTCAAGCTGATAAATTTCTAATACGGTACTTGCACAGCTATGAATTAACGACATTTATATGAAGTGAAGCTCTGTAACATTTTGATTTTATCCTTACATCCATACTTCCTATTGATCTGTTGAACAGTCTTGTCAATACACTGTATACTGAAACATGCTTTAGAGTGGAATGTATAAAGGGTACCGGTATTATAAAGGGTCTTGAAGGTTCATAGCTTTTGTAATGATTACTTTGGAAGAAGGTAATATTATAATGCATGGTGTCTTCCATACTGAAAAGGCCATCTATATGTAAAAAAAAAGATATATGTATACAGCGGCATGTCCAATTGATGATTGGATTAATAAATAAGTTTTAAAACAAAAGTCGTGTTGTGGTCCCATTATTTTCAACTGTGTTGTATGGCTTCACTGAATGACATCTGGGAACTATACCTATGTCAATATATCATTATTATTGAAGATAAAGATAAATTATTGACAAACTAGCAACACAGTAAATTACAACTCTGAATACACAAATTAAAAGTGCTTTATTATGTGTCAATTACAATAATGTACCTGCTTTATATAGCTAAGAAATTAGGAATGCATTCTTATCTAATATACCTCATTAGACCAGGTGGTCTTGTGGTTGTTGACTCAGAAAGGCACTTAACACTGTGATTAATTAATAAAGGCACATTGTAGCCTAGCTATTCCACAGTGTTTTCAAACCCATTAGAACATCACACATTCCCTAAAACTTTGACAACAATCGCAACAATGTAGTATGGAATGCTGAACTTAATACAATATGCAACTGTGGACAATTACGTTAGAAATATGCTGGTGACAATAATGCTTCCAGAGCTTATACATATAATATGACTATTTTTGTAACCTTATACATTTGGTCTTACTGTCTATCAAGGCAGAGATTATAGCTTTCCAAGCTGGCCTAATAATGTTTACCTTCGCTTAATGAAAAAATATTGTTTTTGCTCTGTTTCTTCTTCTTTTCCAAACAAATTAGGTCAATGACCTAAACCAGACGTCTGTCACCATGGTAACTGGTGTTGGGTTACATCATGTTGCAATTTTATAGCAGGAGGGATTTAGACTCCTGTCACCATGTATATGAATGTTTGAGTAAGAATTATCAGAGCAGATCCATACGCGAAGTTAAACATGATGCATTTGCTTTGCAAATGTTGAATTTCTAGCTAAATGATAGCGTTTTTAATTATTTATCTAACTAGTATAGAAATGTATATGCTAAGTCATGCCGGTTTAGTAGCAGAGATCCGGCCTCCCCCCACACGGCCGCTAGTGAACAGCCTGACTATCGAGCTGTAGAAGCTATGCAGAGCCTGGTACGTGGGCCGGCCGTGCACGCGCACGTGACGATCCTCCGATGAGACGAAGGTCTTCAGACGGTCCTGGACGTAGTCTTTCCAGTCTGCTGTCAAGTCTTCTACCTGGGGGGTTTGAGATATGATGATGGGTAATACATTGCGACTTTGGGAAATTTCTGTGGAACAGCTTTTCGCTGTAACAGTTGTAGTTTTTCTTTTCTTATTTCTTTAACAACAGTTTTTCTTGACGTTTAATTTTTTATCGGTAGATCCTGCAGCTGGAGTCATCATTAATATAATTATGGATACGTTTTGTATCACCAGCGTTGGGAAGCTTCTGTAGATCAGCTATTCACTGTTACAGTTGTAATTTTTCTCAATAACAACTTTGTTAAATCTGAACAAACAGCGTGTACACAGACGTCATACCTGGACGTTGACAAAACCGGCATCTTCGATCTGTTGTTTGTAGTCTTGGAGATTAGCAAGATCGAAGTAGTTGACCCCGATGTCTTCCGATACCTCCGACAAGTCTCCCAGGGCAAAAAGATCTTCCACAAGCCTTAGAGCAAAAGAACAAACGTTACACATGGTAGAAATATATCCCAATACAAATGTATGTACTTTTGCCGAAATGCCCTTTGTCTCGCACGAGTCACTGAATCAACTGCAAACGCTATTTACACCAAATACCAAATTATGGGAAATACAGATATTCAATATCAAGCGAGTTTTCCATAGGTGGCGATTGCAACAGTGTCTGTGCATATATAAGTCGCCATCGATATCGCGTTCATCAACTTTTGAATCACTATAACACGATCGTAAGAAACTCACATATTTCCGCCCGGTTTGAGGTGCTGTAGACACCGCTCGCTGACCTTTTTCTTATCCGGTATGTGACAGAACACCAGCCAACTGGTCACCAAGTCATAGCTGCCGTGCCCTGTGTAATGTAATATCGTTGCTGCTACTCAAGAAGACATCACTGTTCAGATCACTTTTCCTAACCAGGCTATTTACTTGAACGAAAACTAGAAAAAAACGCATATCAAGAATATACACAATTTACGGTAATAACTTATAGTTCAAAAACTTTTTTTTCGTTTTGTTATCATACTTTTCGTTCCCACAAACTTTCGTTCCCCGGTGTGAACCCTAGCATTACCAATTTCAAGCAGAGGTTGTGGGGGAATGATCGTTAGCTTTTTATATTTGGCCGTTTTTTTTTTTTATCGCTACCCCCACCGCGACTTTTTCTGGCTAATGGATACTGTCTTTGGCACCGAAAGGGATCTGCTTGGAGATAAGCATTACCGAGGTCTATGTCCATGACGTCCCCACACACATGTTTGACCCTCTCGCCCAGGCCACATCTGGCAGTCAGGACCTCCCCTGTCTCATGATGGTCGCGCTGAAGCTCAAGAGCAGTCACGTGACATCCCGTCCTCCAGGCCAGGTATCGCGCCGGCCCGCCGATCCCCGACCCCACATCCAACACGCGGGTGTCTGCGCTGTTATTGTCAGCCCGATGAAAGGGAAATAACAATCTCAGTATCTAGCAAACAAGTTTTAGCCTGCGTCGGTGAAGGTTAGACATGCAGGTAATAAGATACGCCAAAAAGCAAAATCCTATCCTGTTGCTTGAGTAACTGCTTTTTGGCGTAAGTTTTAGCCTGGTGTCCAAACCTACTAAGTATGCTGCCGAGTCTCTTCCGTTCTCTCAGCAAGTTTCCTATTCAGATTTCTCCCTTACACACTTTCTTTTGATAAAATTTTATGATAGCCCGATCCAGATCGAACACATCGAACCCCCGACATGTTCTATTTCGGACACCTCCGAAGTAGAACATTGGTTCCACGCGTTCGAACGAACAGGATCGGTCTATTGTAGCAATTTTATAGCTTGTGATCACGTTGCACCAAACGTGCCCTTTGAACAACGGATGTGGGCAATGTGGTTTATTAATTAACAAGATTTTCTCATCTTTTCTGAGAACAAGACTGCCAGCATCATCACTCGGAAAGGGTAACAAGTTATATACTTTCTTGCTCCTTGCTACTGAAACGTTATAATACCTTGTACATTTTAGCAGAACTATACGTACCCTATGTTAAACCGTTGGATGGCCTTGTCCACCGCCTCCACGCCGTGGTAGTGAAGACTGTCGAACCTGCTGACGTCTTCAACCTTCAAGTCGTCGGTGTCTCCGTAACCCAACTAGCAAGGAAGGGCCACAATTACAGTTGTAATACATATGGTCATGTAGCTATAGGTCTAACGCGTTGCCGGGGACAATAGTTGAGTGATCACTCGATCTGCTTTTGATTAAACTGTATTATCATATAGCCGGGTGACGTTGACCAATCAGAAGGCTCCATTCCACATTCCTTATGTCGCCGTAATGTCACAAATAGAGTCAAAATCGGGTATTTATTCATCCCAATCCATACATTAAACAAACTGAATCATCACCCGCATATGACCTCAGGTGACCCAGTAGAACACGGCTCTACTTCTAAAAAAATCCAAAAATAACTTAAGTTGTATTCCAATGACCTCAGGTAACTTCCATAAGAACACCTGTTCCCTGCCTGTGACCCAGTTAGAACGTGAACCCTACCGTGTCCTCAGGTGACTCCAGATGGCACAATGTTCTATATTCTATT